TTGTGTATCAGCGGACATTTACATGAAAGACTTGAAAAGGACTCAACCTAAATGCATATTTTGAACATTATATGCTTTATTTCTTGTAGTTTTCACGGTGTCTGCTGAAAAGAGACAGAGACAGAGACCAATAAACAACAAAAAGACATCTGTATGAAGCGTGGCTATCATTTCATTAGACCAGTGCAGTTACATTGATCCTTTGCAGTTTGCTTACAGAGTTGGGTTTGGAGTTGAAGATGCCACCCTCACTCTGCTCGATAAGTTTGGAAAGAACTTGGATGCGGAAGATTGCTGTGTTAGGTTTTAATTTATGGACTTTTCCCCCCGTTTTTAATACGGTGAACATAAATATACTTTTGAGGTGGCTGGAGGAGTTGCAGGTGCACCACACCCTTATTTTATTGATTCATATTTTTTTTACGGGACCATCCATAGCATGTACTGGTAAAGAGCAAAAAGTCAGAGAATGTGGTTTTAAACTGAATGTGGTTTAAAAACGAAAACAACGTATCCGCGTGACGCAGCTGGCACAGAACAGCATACGCGGTTTACGTATGTGATACTCTCCAAAATGGCACTAGGGTGACACGGAGGAGACGAATTGTTGAATAAAGTCTTTTTTTTTTTTTCTTTTTGCACACAAAAAGTACTCTCGTAGCTTCGTAAAATTACGGTTGAACCCCTGATGTCACATGGATTATCTTACCGATGTCCTTGCTACGTTTCTGAGCCTTGATCTTGTAAGGACACTTGCTGTCTATGGGAGGGTCAGAGCTCACGGGATGCATCAAAAATATCTTAATTTGTGTTCCGAAGATGAACGGAGGTCTTACGGGTTTGGAACGACATGAGGGTGAGTAATTAATGACAGAATTTTCATTTTCGGGTGAACTAACCCTTTAAGGACTGCACACTTGGTATTGCTCAAAGATCCGGCGAGAGCACATCTGCAGACAGCGCACAAATCACATGGGGTTGCATGGAGTATCTTTGACGAGAGTGAAGAAAGGCTGTGAAGGAAAGCGTGTGCGGAAATATGGAGATGGTCTGGGCATGTTTTATGCAAATGACTAACCTTGTGCATGCGGTAGCTCATTTAGAATACTCCAAATTGGCTAAAATTAGGACGAGGTTAAGAAGAAATTCATGTGCGTACGAACGTGTTGTGAATTAGGAGGAACATTTCCGTGAGAAGTTCGAATGGGTGTATGAATATGAATAATCTTTAATGAATAAGACCCATTGTGACTCTCTCAAGAAGACCAAATGGGTTGATTTCTCCCACCCAGGACAGAGAGTCAAAACCAGACTCCATCTTGAAATCTTTTGACCTCTTCCTCAACAGGAGTGAATTCCTCACCACTCTCAAAAAGGCACAGAGACTGCCGTTGCATAAAATCATTCCAAAAAGATGCCAAGAGGACTTAACCAAATATAATTCTATTGCATAATTCTATGTCACTTTTGTAACCAACATGTATCTAATGCTCTTATCCAAGATTATTAATACAATTGTGAATAACTATTGAATAGACTTGACTACTGTTGACCAAGTTTGGTGAGAATCACACAAATCCCCTTGGATGAGTATCTAAGGGCGTTTTCACACCTGTAGATCGATTGCTTTGTTCCGAAACAGGGATTAAAATTATTACAATGTTGCTTTTTATTCTTGGTGCGGTTCGCTTTCACACGGCAATGTTTCTATATGGACCAAATTTGTTAATACAAGTCATGCGCGAGTAAACTGTTCTCTCATTGGTCAAAGGTTCACAGTTTATTTTCTGGGATTCCACTTAGCTGTCACAGCTGTCATCTGTCAGGATGAAACGACAACAGCTTTGCGGGCTTATTGTTGTTGTTGTTTTTTTTTGTAGATGTCGTTATATTAATTTATCAATTTGAGCAGGAGTCCAGGATTCATCGGGAAAACATTTTTAAAATGCATATACTAGGAAGAAGAGCAATAAGACGGCATTATAAAATGAAAGTGCGCTTAGATTTTGAATGGCGAAGACGTGCTCTCTCACAGACATTCACATGGTTAATTTTAAAGTATTAGCAAAACAACAAAGTTAATGCTTTTCACAGAACTTATGTAATTACCCATTATACATTGTGATATAGCCTGGTTCGTTGGTCCATTAGATCGGATTGCTTTCTCACTACAACCGAACCGCTCCAGAATTAGTTTCCAAGCGAGCCGAGACCACCTCGTTCAGGCGATCTTGGACCGATTGTTTTGGCGCGGATCCGAGCGCGATTGCCGTGTTCACATATGCCCAAACGAACCGAGCTAAGGGGGGAAACGCGCCAGGTTCCGAAACAACAGGCCAGGTGTGAAAGCACCCTAAGTATCTACTTAAAAAAAAAAAAATACACAAAATCCAAAATGGTAGATTTCTTTTTTGGATGAGATGAGGAAATTAAGTAAACCATTAGGCAGAAAATGGATCTTTTTTAAGATACAAGCTCTGATTGGGGGATTTAAACTCTGACATCTGGGAACCCACAACCATGAAAGCTTGTGGAGGCTTGTTGCCATAGAATTCACATAGAATCAAATGGATGGGAATATGCATACACAAATCATATTTAAACGTGGTTACGCACAAACTATATTATATATACTAAGCTCCATAGTATATGTGGTTATTTCAGCAAGGAGATGGGGTAGGGAATAAAGTGCGAGTATATACACACAGGCGCACGTGCCAAAGGGCTTTTATAAATCTGAAAACTGAAATAATGCAAAATCAGCCTTTAGTTGGTACACACAGTTATGATAAAATGTATGCAAAGTTTTATGCATGATGCTCTTACCATTCTTTCGAAAGGGTCATCTGTGTGGTTGGCAATATCCAGGAGTTCAGAATATTCCAGCTCTTCACTGACACGCTGTAATAAACTAAGCGGTTCATTGAGAGCCACTGGCATGGAGACCCGTGACAAATCCTTCCCGATGTTGTTGTACAGGATGGAGAGGATTCCGATATGGCTGTTATCTTTGGGGGTTTTGGAAAAAAAAAAAAAAAAAAAAAAAAAAAAAAGAAATACCATACCAATAAAGGTGTGAATGTGCACAAAACTGAAAACACCTACAAATGACACTTGAAGGTAGGGCAGGCACTAGGCACTTTAGCTAATTGTAGACGTACTGTGGCCTTCCTCTGGTTCAGAGTTGCTTGTGGTGACATCACTCAATCCAGATTCATCAGATGTTTCATTTTCAGACAAATTCTCACAAACCACCTCACTGGCATCAAAATACTCTACTGTAGAGTCTGCTACTGAAGGTGTACGATACAGCTTACGGTCCTGAGAGGGGGTGTCCTGACAACAACAGATTTATTTTAAATAAATAAATAAAAACCATTGACTTTAAAAGTTCAGACGTGGGGAGGCACACACCTGATCCTGGCGCACAGTACAGTAGGACTCGTCTGAGGAATCAGATGACAGTGATACAGAGTGAACTCTGGTTAAACGTGACTGCAGCTCAAGCTAAACACAAAAGTCAAGTCAGTAATTAACACAATTTAAGCATAAAAGGCAAGAGACAGCATACATGACAGACAGTACACTGTGTATAATTTAAATTAATGCAGCAAATATCAAGACATAAAATGGTTTAACACACACACACCTCTTACTGGATGAACAAGTGATTTTAAAACATAAGGGCTAGCATTCTTTCAATTACCAAGATATTCAGCTTATCCCTTAGTCTGCAGTAACAAAACCTGTTTATAGGTTTTATATATAAAAAAAAAAAACTAGTAGCAGCAGCTCACAGTGCAAGTCAGAAGTGTACTAGTACACTAGCACCATCTTAAACAGGAAGGAAAGATTTACCTCTGAGAGGGTCGTGCACAATGTGGCCAACTGATCTGAGGTTGACTGCCGAAGGTCAGGTCCGGCCCAAGCCTGTCTGACACGCTCACGCTCTACAGCTAGGGATTCATGGATGGATTTTAAAGACGAATGTACTACAAAAGACAAAAGGAAGAATGAAAGGAGATACCAATTTAAATTCAAAGTTTGAAATCAAACTGTCTTGCATTATTGTGTAGGCTATCGAGCAAAAAAAAAAAAAAAAAAAAAAAACTCATAGCACCATCTAGCACCCAAGTTGTAAGCTTTTAGGTAGTTGTTAATTGCAAGTGGTATCCTTCTAAAACAACTAGAGATGTAAATTTAAGCAAATTCCCAATTAATCCATTAACGGTTGACCTTAATACTGCAAGATACATCTGCTGCAGTGGCATGTCACCAACATTCGGGTTGGTCACTTGAATTTTCACAAATTTTGTGAGGTCTTCCAATGGGATCTCGATGGCACATTTCTGTGGTTCTTCTCAGGAAGAATATTATTTTGTGAAAAGACGCCACTTCAAAGCATACAGCTGCCTCGTAGAGTGATCTCCTTGTTTGTGCCAAGATTCACTTCCACAAACATGATCAGACTTCGATAGATCTCTGTTCTTTAAATAAAACAGGCCAGGCACGGTCACCTGATATCCATGCCATTGATTAAAAACACCTCTGAACAGATGGACTCTACTTTTGCCACTCACAGATATGTAATATTACATAATTGTTCTGAATAGGAACTTCCAGTTAGGCGAACTATGGAGTAAGACGTGTTCGTGGGGGTTCCTGCAGAATTTGACCATATTTCGATACTTATGCACATTTCCACATAATACTCAGTGTCTATGTGTAGTGTTGGTTAGTGGTGTTTTATTGTTTTTCATCTCTTGCAACAAAAATGAAAACTAAAAGCAGTAAACGAAGTAACGCGCAGACATCGCAACAGCGGCCTGCTACTACAAGCACGTCCTCGGCAGAGCGTGATTCAGCCAGCCCGAGCCCGGACGAGTGTACGGAGTTCGCGACGACCTCAAATGATACACAGTCCCTTAAAACAGAGATACTAACTTCGTTGCGCAAAGATCTGGCAGAAATATTTCACTCCGAGTTGCGGTCCATGTTGGGCGATGATTTGGCTACCATCAAGAGCGAGCTTCAGGTGGTTAAAGCAGAATTCTCTAATAGTATGGTTTCGATGCAGACGGACATGTCGACACTGAAAAGTACAAAGAACACTCGCCTTCCACCTGTTCGGATGACATCACCGTGCTTCAGGAGAAGGTAGAGTCTCTTTCGGCCGCTGTGGTAAAACTAGAGGATAAGTGTTTAGATCTGGAAGCCAGATCTCGTCGTAACAACAGAAGGATAATTGGAGTTCCAGAAGAAAAACCCTCTACTACCGTGGTGATTTCCAAGCTACTTAAGGAGGCACTTAACATTGACAAGGACATCATCATTGACAGGTCACATCGCGCATTACAGCCTAGGCCAAGACCGGGGGAGCGTCTGCGAGTTATTGTGGCAAGACTACATTATCACTCGGACTGTGTCGATGTCTTAAAGCGGGCACGTGAGTCTAATCATGTCACCGACTCAAAGTCGGTGATATGACTAGATCAATCTTTCTGGATTTTACAGCAAAGACTGCTCGTGCCTGGTCTGCCTTCAATGATGTTCGTCAACAGCTGCGCTCAATTCCTGGGGTGAAGTTTGGTTTTCTTCATCCAGCTAGGCTGCATGTTACTTACAACAGGGTCGAAAGGCAGTTCAACTCACCGGATTTGGCTAAATCATACACTCTGAGACTGTAAAGAATTGACGTATCAAATGATTCTTGAATGTTTACGCGTAGACATGTGAGCCGAGTTGGGTAAGTTAACCCTTGGCATTATGCAGAAGACAGTGGACAATGCATTATACATGAGACGCTGGACTATGGACTGTGAATGTGATTGTTTATTATTTGTTTCCCCCTCTCTTTTTTGAGCTTGTCATAGTGTCTCAAATGCAAACGGTATTTTGAATATTATCGTTACTGTCTAATTACCAGTCATGCTTGGTAACCATTTTATTTACTGTATAAGTGCAACTTTATTGGTTTTTGAAACAGAGTTAATGCGGGATATCTGTTATATCTGTTCTACTGTGATAGCCTGCTACTGAATGTTATATACTGCAGGTCTCCATTCTCTTCTTGTTAAGCTCTAATCGTGAGCAGTAATTGTATGGGTTGGCTCCCTTTGGAGTCTGCACATGAGTTCGCATCAATTGGGGATGCGGATATTGGATGTGCTTGGGTGGGTGGGGTTGTTTTGGGATTGATCTGTGCGTGTTTTGGGTTTTTTGTTTGTTTTTGTTTTGTGTTTTGTTCTTGGTTTTTTGCTTTGTTTTGCTTTACAGGAGGTTTTTTTTCTTTTCCAAGGGGAGTGTTTTAGTTTAGCAGAATAAATGGCTAATTCTCATGGTAATTTGACAAACCCAGTCAGTTCTACAGTAAGGTTTTTAACTTGGAATATTAAAGGCATGGGAAATCCCATAAAAAGGTCAAATATATTTTCACATTTGAAAAGGTTAAATACTGACATTGCTTTTTCTATGGGTCTCCTGCAGTCAGATGTTCCATTTAAATTAAGCAAAACAGGATTTAGATACCTTGGCATTAATATTACTCATTCTCTCTCTTCTATCTGCTAATTTCTCTCCTTTGTTGGAACGGACCAAGTCTGATTTTCAGCGATGGAGCAATCTGCCTCTATCATTGATAGGTCGGATTAATGCAGTGAAAATGAATGTTTTACCCAAGTTTCTTTTCGCCTTTCAGTGCATTCCTTTGTTTCTCCCCAAGCGTTTTTTTTTTAATCTATCGACCAGATTGTCACTGACTTTTTGTGGGGTGGTAAAGTGCCCAGAATTCGGAAATCATTGCTTCAAAGATGCCAGCTGAATGGTGGGCTCTCTTTACCTAATTTCATGTTTTACTATTGGTCAGTAAATATTCATAAGATAACATTTTGGCTTAATTTGTCCACAGCACCATGGTGCAGATTGGAAGCAAATTCATGCATATCTACCTCTCTGTTGGCTTTGCTTACTTCACCCCTATCCTGTAATGTCTCTTCGGCTTCCTTTACACATAATCCAGTAGTTGTATCTACACTTCGGATTTGGTGCCAGTTTAGGCGACACTTTAAATTTACTTCTGCTTCAACTTTGATGCCATTATTGGAGAATCATATGTTTCCCCCATCTCTTACTGATCCTGTATTTAAACAGTGGCATGCAAAAGGCTTGAGATGTTTTCAAGACCTGTACAGAGATGGCACATTCTGTAGCTATATACAATTATCTTCTGATTTGGGATTGTCAGAATCCCACTTGTATCGGTTTTTAGAGATTAGACACTGCTCTGCTACCTTGTTTTCTAGTTACCCATCCCTGCCCCCAAGGCTAGTATGGGAAGAATTTCTGCAATTCAATCCGAATCACAAGTCACAAATTTCGAGAATTTATGGTTGCATTTTAGGTTTAAATGACTGTTCGATTGACAAAATCAAAATTCATTTTTCTTTCCAAGGCCAGGTTATCTGAAATATTTCCTAATATTGAAGACAGATGTCATGCTTCTTTGTGCAATTCGAGTCATGTTTTTTACTTGTCCAATGTTGCAAAATTTTTGGGTCAATTATTTTACAACTATGTCTAAAGTGTTAAAAGTTAGAATTGATGTTTCCCCCGCTATAGCAATCTTTGGGATACAAAAAATTTGGTCTCAGTTTAACTCAAAACAACTGGATATTTTATCCTTTACCTCTTTGTTAGCTAGGCGCCGTATTCTGCTCCACTGGAAATCTAATAAGCCTCCAACAACCTCCCAATGGCTAGTGGATACCATGTTTTTTTTTAAACTGGAAAAAGTAAGATGTTCTGGGAAAAGTCATTTCTTCAATAAATGGCGTCCCTTTATAGCTTACTTCAAGTCTCTTAATATTCTACCTCCTGGTTAATTAATGATAATGTGTATATGTATGCATGTGTGTATATATATACAGGGGCAGACTTACCAATTAGGCAAAGGTAGGCGACCGCCTTGGGCCCCCAAAAGCCAAGGGCCCCCTAAAATGCTTTTCATATAGGATATGCGCATTAAGCACTGACACGCGAATGGTTGCTGTTTATGGTGTTTGTTACCACGACAACCGTCCCGAGTCTGTGGCGCCTGCAGGTGTACGGCTGTACGCACTGTGCGTACCATGAGCGCTCAGACTGACCTCAGATTTGCCCCGCAAACATTTCAGCAGTTAT